TTGCCGACTAAGCGAATTTCCATTTGTCTGAATTGATTTTTAATCAAATCTATTTTAATAACATCAGGTTTAACGAGTACCTAGGTTATACCTAGGTTGTACTGTACCTAGGTTTTATATACAGAGTGTCCCGGAAGTCCTTAAATACTCACGGAGCTACCATTTTGTTTTTTCACTTATTAATTTTTTGTTAAAGTGGTTAAACATACGAAATTGAAACTTTGCACAAACATTTATAACAACTAGACAAAGCTAAAAAAATTATGACAATTTTCCAAATTCATAAAACAAAGTGGCAGCCATTTGTAATTTTGTTTTTTAAATAACTCAAAACCCGATGATTTTACAAAGATTTTACAAAAGTAACCTTTTTAAGGCAATTTGATTATAAATTGATTGACACCTTAGATTTTAAGGTTGGACTAATATTAACTGAGATATAACCGCTGGGGTAATTGACAGTGCATGCTGAGACATGCGGTCACGTATCACTAAAGCTGCCATATCTTAAAATTTGTCAAAAAAATATTAAGGAGTCACCCAATTTGTAATTAAATTGCCTTAAAAAAGTTATTCTTGTAAAGTTTTTGTAAAATCAGCGGTTTTTAGTTTAATTTGCAATATATTGATCCAGAGGCTAACCAGGGGTTTTTGAGCTATTTAAGAAACAAAATTATAAATGGCCGCCATTTTGTTTTATTAATTTGGAAACTGGTTATAATTTTTTTTCTTGAAGTCAGCTAACATTTTGGCCATATCTTCTTCAACGCCTTAATTGTTTTTGGTGTTGTCATTTGTCAGATTTGATGATGTCTGTTTCTTGGTGCACCACTAAACAGTGTGATAGGTTGACCTATGTGTCCAAAGAACCTTGTGTCCAATTTACTACTATCCCAAATGAAACCCATTTATCCAGAATGCTATACAATTGTATACTATGGTATATGTTTTCAGCTCGAGTTTAGGTGTCATCTGTTCCTAGCATAAAGCTAAAGAAGAGGATAATTGGAATTTAATTTATGATAACAGTAAATATTAAGCTTGATGTTATTTTCCAAAGATAATGCCAATATTTCTGAGTTACAGGTCTCAATGAAAAAAAAAACTTTCTACCATTATATGGCTACGGCTACATTTGAAACTCTTATTGCTAAAACTTATCTTTGCATACGCCTGTCTTTGGTGGCAGAAATCTGTTCTATTATTTCCACCAATAATTAAAACTGTATTTTTTCAGTAAATTTTGATTTAGGTTTTTCTAGTTTGTGAGGAATATATTAGGTGTGCTCCTGATGGTTAGTAGGTTGATGTACCATTGTAGTGAGGATGGCGTACGGTGACAGTAAGTTTGTAATGTTTCTAGCATGGCTGTCACCTGTTATGTAAAATGTGGGGTTTTTTATGAATTATTCTGAGGTTTAGTTATATATATCTTTGTATTCCGTATCGGAGTTGACGCATCCACTTCAAGTATAGATGGATCATTGGTTTTGCTGGTTAAGTCACCTCAAAGTTTTTTGTTTTCTTGTTTGATTTTGTTTAGCTGCAGAGAGTTCATTTCAGATTATTTAATATGTTAACTGAAGTTTTGTGTTGGGAGTGGACCTAAGAGTAGTAGATCATGTGTTTGTGAGATCCTGATTGAAGTTGATAACGTCAGTCCCTGAGTTTTACCACTAAAATGTAATGCTGGGGAGTGAATGCTGCAAGCAGGAGGGTTACTGAAGTGACCTTTCTAAATGGTCAAGGACACAGAGGGTGTGCTAGTTACCAAGTACACACAATGATTTTTCCACCAGTTCTGAAGCAAATAAGTGGTTGAGGCATCTTCATCAACTGTATCAGTACCGAAATGTATTATATATGCCAAATTATTCACTTTTTGTTCCATCTCTTGTGGTTCAGTGAATGTGTGTCTTAGTATTGAGTGATAATTAATCATCGTATATACTAAACAAGAAAAATTATTGATTTTAAAAATCCCCTCAAATATAGGTTTAATTGAAACATTGTCTAAGAAACCTAGCACTATTTCTTTAGGGTGTATAAAACACACATTGAGAAAACATTTACAATTCTTTCTCATTTTTCTCTGGTTTTTACAATTTTTTTTTACAAAATTGAAACTTTGAACAAACATTGATGACAACTAGACAAAGCTATTTTACCGACTGCAACCTGGGTAGTGCTGCTATCTATCAGAATCACTTAGTACTATGTCCAAAGCCAGTTTTATTGCAGAAAATTGCCATCCAGTATAACCATAGACGAATAGAATAACTATAGACTGTTAAAGGAAGGTTTTGGCGCCCACCACTAGGAATGCCGTGTAGTTACGGCGCACACCGCTGCAGGCAAGGAGCCGTATGCTACCGGCAGACGCTGCAGCGGTGGACGCCAGAACTTATGCTAACTGCAGCATAGCTGACGGTCTATATTTATTCTACTTGTCTATGGTATAACTACTGTTGTTTTTACTGTAATTCAGTTTATCGGCGGCAATGTTATGCAGCGGCGAGCGTTAGTTCAGCTCCTGGCGCCGCCCCGGCATCTAGCGGGCAGCAGCGAACGTGTTAAATGATTGAATTAACAAGAAACGAATTATAAACAAAACATGACCTCTACAATGCTTCCGACGGCACTAACAATAAAACTTTCTTCAGCTGATCTATAAGGAGTATTTTTTATCAATGGTTAAAAGGTAACAATCTGTATGATATGAAAATGAAGAAAACCAAAAAAGAAACCTGTTCACCACTCTGAAGACAGAATATTGATCAACTCTTCCTATCCGATTGTCTTCCAGGCCAGGATACAACGTCGTACATAACGCCAGGAACTCAAATCATTTTTGAACGGTTCATTTTTGTAGGTATTTACCTGTCATTGCCTTGGATAAAAAAAAAACTAACATTACACATTTTCCTTCCTGGTAGCTTTAAGGATCTAAACGAAAATGGCGATTTTATTAGTACCCCTAATCTAAAAGTGATATTATCTTCAGACACTTAAAGGTAAGAAGAGGAGATTTTCATCTCTAAGTGATTAAATGAAAGCAGTTTCTCTAATTTAAGGGCCAAAGGAGACTGGATTCTTACACGTCTCTGGATGACCAAGTAATCAAAAATGTATATGGGATCGATGTTAAAATTTACATTTAGGTTAAAGGGTAATGATTGAGGTTCAATAAGAAATAGGAGGCAACCATTAACTCGTTTTGTTTTATATTTTAAGAATTCAGAACTCCTCCAACTTTAATAAATAATCCTAAACTAACTGATTATTCAGTTTTACAATAACTAGCACAGGGTGAAATACAACAATATGCAATTGTTGCACAAATTCAACACTACAATGTATGTAAATTAATATTTTTCTAATGTATCTATCCAATATGGATGGATTCCTCAATTTAAAAAAACATCAATCAAAGCTACATAAATTATAAGATTCATTAAAAATAATTACAATTAATAAAATACTACTAAGCTATTTACACAATCACTCATCAGTGACTGGATCATACATCCTTCCATTACTTTATCCAATAATTTGATTTAAAAAAGAAAACCTATGTTTACTCATTACAATACGGAACCAAGTTATAGTCAGTTCATTGTGTATGGATCTGTGATTCAATACACTGTCGTTAAAGTTTGGAGCAGCATTTAGTAAACAAATTTAATATTTAAAATAACTACTATTGAAGATTAGACCTTGTAACCTCGCATTGACCTGAGTGTGGAACACATGAGCAAAGTAAGGGATAAACTGGTACACTCTAAGATCCGTAGTGGGTAAGTAATCTAAGATTCAAACCCAAAACCATAACATTGCATCCAAGGTTCTTGCTCCCGAGGATTCTCTAACTTATCTGGCTATTTAATTGCAGTACCTATCAAGTCCTTATTATATAAAAATATTTTTACAACATTTCAATTAACCCCTTAAAAACACCTCATGTAGAGTAAATGTTCAAAAACTCATATTTTTCAATAAATTATGACTAGCTAACCCCTTAACAAATCTAGTTTAATGAAGAAGCACTCACTAAACTAGACCCAAAAATATCAGAATTCAAAAACTCAGAGTCATGAGCTAAAAACTAAGTTTCTTTAAGTTTTCTCTGGATTAATTAACATATTGAGTGCAAAACAAACGCCCATGCTTGACTTAAAATATGCATATCGTAACCATCTAGGTACCAGGACTCCCAGTGTGTAGAAAGAACATGTTGAATGGTTTAAATTTTTAGCGTCTTTGCTTTAAAGTCCTATTTAGTATTACTTATGGTTTTATTCATTACAAAAGTTGTTGTTGTACTGCGGAAAGGTTGTCTCTTTGATTGTTGTATAAATGCATATACCACACTACACTGTTTTAACGAACTTCCCTCGCAAAGATTTAGTCCAGAAAACAGCTGTTTGCCACCAGCTTAATCAAATGAGGTTTCATTACGTACTACTGTACTGTAACGAGTTTTTACCAAACACCAATCAGCCAAGTTGGCAATGAGTGGTTATAAACAACAACATAACCTTTCTTAGAGGTTATGAGTAGTATTTGTTAGTCCTTTAGTCGGTGGGAATAATTAGCCGGATTTGTACAGATTTTGTATTGTTAAGTTAGCTTAGAGTAGTATGGCGTAAAATATCATACGTCACACGTCCAAAATGTGTTTTCCGCCATCGACCTCGTCTTGCACAGGTACGACCACACTCGTCCGGTACACTCCTATTTTCAGGACTAGTAACGTAATTTACTATTTAATACTACTACCAGTAGCTAACAAATGAATCATCTGTACAAAATAGTAATTGTGAATCAGGTCATCATGCTGAGTTATGAATTTTAGGTTCGGCTAGGGTACTGTACTTCAGAAAGAATGTAGGGATATGAGAGAAAATCAGTTTTGCAGCTTGAAAATACAAAAACGGGAATTTCATTAATAATACTGTTTAGACTCACTGATAAGGAAACATTTAGGCCTACCTGCACTCAAAGTGTTAAAGTATCCAAAAGCATAAATATTACCTAATTAATCATTTAGTAGTCAGTCTTACAATTTGTTGTACTACAATCTAAGTCTATATCACCCATTTAACAATAAAAACAACAAAACTGCTTGAAAATTTATCACAATTTAGATGCTATATACAAAAACAGTATTCCGTTAACAAAAAAGAACAAACCAAACAATAATCTAAGATGGCCAAACAATGTCTTCTATCCATTCCACATATGCAGAGACTCGAGTGTAGATGGCTGGCAGTCCGGTTCCACAAAGTTTTCCAAATGAAGTGATTCCGATGATCTCATACATACACTTGCTGTGGTGAGTTGGCCTTTGAAGAGGTCCCCCGGAATCACCCTGAATATCGAAACAATCATTATTATTACATCTAAAACTCAATATCTAACGGTTTTATATCAGTATCCGCAAGAGTATCCAAAGAATAAATATTTCCTAAACAAATGTAGGTAATAAAGTCAATCTTTTAAATCTCAGTTCTTTCAGTCCTACAGATTATGAGTTGGTTTACCAACGCTATTCTTGTCAACTTATTTTCATTCTAAAAAATCCAGAAAACTATTAGTGCATACTTTCAGTTTTAGATTGGGGAAAAGATAGGAAACTGCATGATCACGATATGCAACCCACATAGAATCCAACTACCACCATTCATTGACATTGTTGCTTGCAACAACTCATTTTAGCCAGGCTCCTCTCCCTCCCATCATCTGTCTCTCATAGCTAGCATATACAGAAGGTTCTTACCTAGAAGTAACAACAAATTTTAACACTCTTGAGGCACACACACACATTGATTTTGAACAGGCGATAAAAGCTCAAACGAGCTCTTATCAAATTATTTGCTGCACACTGCATACACACCGCTAGGTTTTCAATCAATGTTGTTCTTTCTGAGCGCTTGGAGAAGGGCGTGTATTGTGACAGCGCCATCATGTGTAAGTTAGTGTGCTGTTTGCTTGTCAGCAGGGCCACCTGAGATTGAATTTTTCGCCCCCTCCCAAAAAAAGTATTTAGGGGGTTTGCGTTGTTTTATGAATAAAACAAAAGCTATTGATTGCCTTTTTTAGAATTGTCATTGTAATTTATTACATTTTTACGAGTTTACCTTAAAATATTCGTTTGCGGTTCGCCGATAACCTCGTTAAATTGTTTACCTTCCAAAGCCAGGTTTACCTTCCAGGGCGGTCGCCCCGCTCTCAGGGCGGCCCTACTTCTCAGTGTGAGCTCAGCTATTAACACGGAACGTTATAATTGTTGCCAGCCTGTAGCTTAGAATGCGAGCTTTATTTTTGTATAGGTTAATTATTACTACAACTTCCTGTGAAATCCCGTCTGGCAATACTTTTGTCCCGGTTTCGGGGATTTTCTCTCTTCGAGCCACATTACAAGGACACTGGCTACATATCCAGTCAGTGCTGCTACCCTTTGGTGTTTCAGTGAACTAAGTCCACTCTCTGGGTTAACGCAGCACAATCACCGCTGTCCTTTTGTGATTTGTCAGACTGAAATATTATTTGAATGCCAATTGCGTTTGCTGATTCGGTGGCAAGCCGTGACTTCGCGCGGGCCTTGCTGCCATTGGCGAGCGCCTGTTTGACGTATGCCGCAGTGAACGTATTAAGAAATAGTTGTCTGAATGCCTTCATTTAGTTCTGTACAGTCGGAAAAGAGGGAAACGGCACAGCAGCTGACTGTTGTCGGGGCAATCATCAATCCCGTGCCATTTGACAATTAGCGAGTGTGTGGGTTATGTTTGTGGTTACAACCACTCATTAAAAATTATTATACTAAGCTGGTGTCTGGTTAAACTTATTACAATAGTATGCAATGAACACCCATTCGATTAAGCAAAAAATTCTCTAATAATTGTTAACCAAGAGGTAGGAAATTACCTGGCAAGTGTCATGTGAGGAGTCTAGGTAGCCTGAAGCACACAGCATGGAGGTTTGGATACCTCGAGGCAGTCTCTCCGATCTCCGACCTCCCAGGAACTTCTCATCACAGGTGCGGTTGTCCATCACTTCCAGGGACACCTTCTGTAGGTTGGGACTGGAAAACAAGCCTGCAAACAGTTATTGACACTGGATTTAATCTATGTTTAGTCCTAATTATTTTTAGGGATATTTATTTATTTTATTTATTTATTTATTTATTTACTACATGTCATTACATCATTTTTTGACAGGACATAAAGTCATATACATGATATACTAAAACTAAGAAATAACAAAAATGCCTTACTAAATTATTAATCTAACTTAACGTCCCTATTTAAATAACATTCTATAGAAAAAAAATTTTTTGTTTTTAACCAGGTCTTCAGGGTGGATCTGAACTGTGTTTTACTATCAATATTTTTTATGCGGAGTGGTAACTTATTGTAAACTTGTGGGCCTATATATTGGGGAGATAAATGAAATTTCTCTAATCTATGGGTTTCAGGCTTAATATAACTCTTAAATCTAGTGTGGTGGGAATGAATGGGTTGGTTCATGAATGAGGAGAGATTGTCTTTAACCCAATTTGAAATTTCTAAAATATAGTGATCATAAAATGTTAAAACCGAAAATGTTTGAAAAAGACTTTTACAAGGAGTTCTACGAGGAACTCGCCCAATAATTCTAATTGCTTTTTGTTGAAGTTTGAATATTTTGTTGGAGTGGCATGAGTTTCCCCAAACCATAATACCATATGTCATTATTGAAGAAAAATAAGCATGATAAACTATAAGCTGAGTCTTCAAGTCAACAGCTTGTCTGATTGCACGAAGAGAGAAAATACAGCGGTTTAATCGTTTAATCAAATTAACAACTTGTGATTTCCAGTTAAGATTTTCATTAACAGTTATACCTAAAAAATTCACATTTTGCTGCAGTGGCATTTTAGAATTTGATGTTGTAATTTTACCTGTTTTATATTGATTATTATTAGAACTAAACTCTATAAGCTGAGTTTTATCATCATTCATAACCAACCCATTCACCTGGAACCAGTCTCTGAGCGCTTGCACCTCCCTGTCGAGTGTGTGTCGCAGGGAGTCGATACTGGGTGCCGTACATAGCACCATTGTATCGTCTGCATACTGAAAGAGTTCCATATTGGAGACTTGAGGTAGGTCATTAACATATATTATGAACATACTAGGGCCCAGTATCGACCCCTGAGGCACACCACATGGTACTTTCCCCCAAGTTGAATAAACAGTTTCATTATTTTTTGTTAATTTAGTTCTCTGAAACCGATTAGAAAGATAAGAAGAAAATAAATTAATTTCTTTGCCTTTAATACCAATTTTTTTAAATTTACCAATGAGGATGTCGTGATCAACGCAATCAAACGCCCGGGACAGGTCACAGAGAACACCAGCTGCTCTCTGAGATCCATCCAGAGCCCGTGTGATGCAGTTAACCATTCTTGCCATTGATGTTTGACAACTGTGCCCTTTTCGGAAACCAAATTGAGTATTGTTTAAGATGTTGTTACCTTCTAAAAAAGATCTATTGAATATCAATAGCTTTTTCAAATATTTTGGAAAAACATGGAAGTAATGCGATAGGACGATAATTGTCTAGGTTGTTTTTGTCGTTTTTCTTAAATAATGGTCTAATTTCAGAATATTTTAATTTATCAGGAAAAATTCCCTGCTCCAGAGACTGGTTTATGAGCTTGCACAAAGGTTCTTGGATAAAGTCTATTACATGTTTAATAACAAATAACGGAATTTCATCCCACCCTGAAGCCTTGGATGGTTTCAAAGAAAACACTATCTTTCTTATATCAGATATGCTTAATTTATTAAATGTAAACATATTATTTTGCTCACTGACCATGAAACTCATTGCCTTTTTTCCATCTGGATTAGATTGAACCTTATTTTTTACATTCAGAAAATTCTCATTAAAACTATTAGCCAATTTTTTTTTATTTTGTAACTATTCTGTTGGGATGTATTCTCAATTTGATATGGAATTTCATTGTCCTTTTTATTTACGCCCATCTCCTTGTTTAGTACAGCCCAAGTGGCTTTAGTTATATTCGATGATTTTTTAATATAATTTTCATTTGACAGTTTTTTAGAAAGGGTAGTGACTTTTTTGAAAATTTTTTTATATGTCTTAAAATAGTTGATAAAGTCTTGGTTTTTGTTCCACTTTGATTCTTCGTGCAACAAACGTTTATTCCCTGCCGAAATTTTTATTCCATTTGTAACCCAATTTTTGTGTTCACTTTTTTTATTTGTGGATTTAAATAGTTTTAAAGGGAATGCATTATTGAAATTCAACAAAACATTTGAAAGAAAACTATTGTAGTTAATGTTAACGTCAAGAGAGGGGTCAAATTGCCATAATGATGATTGTAAATTGTTCCTGAAATTTTCCATGTTATCACATGAAAAAAATCTTCTAAAAATGGATTTAGACTTAGTTAAATTTTTTGTGTTGATTTCACCCAGGCATAATAATAGAGCTTCATGGTCCGAGTCACCTGCATTTATTACAACTTTATGAGCCTGGCTGGTTAAAGATCTATTATTTGAGAAAACATTGTCAATACATGATTTAGACAATGGAGTAATTCTTGTGGGATCCACAAAATGATGTTTTAAACCATGCTGTTCACAAATGTACTGTAATTGCTTTCCTCTGTTACCGCCATTCAAAAAGTCCATATTATGATCCATACAGATAACAATATTTTTTAACTGTAATTCGTGTGAAATCTTATCTAACAAAGAGTCAAATTTGCTCAAAAAACATTTATCAATATCATGATTTGGAATCCTGTATATTGAAATAAAAAGGGTTTTCCACTGAATTATCTCAATAAAACTAGCTTCAAAAGAGTTTTCCTCATTTTCAAACTTTAGATCATTTCTTAGTTTAAAATCAAGTTCATTAGATACTAAAATAGCAGATCCTCCTCTTTTTTTAATTTTCCTACAAAAATAGTCCCCAACCTTGAATTTTCCCAATCTATTGACAGAAGAGAGTATATTGTTATCAGACAGCCAATGCTCATTTAGAGATATTATTTTGACATTTTTTTCTAAGTTTTCAAGAAATAAATTTAAATCATTATAGTTATTCATGAAGCCTTGAATATTCCAATGCAAAATCCAAGGTTGTTTATTAATATTATTTGAACTACTGATTTGTAAAACATTTTTTTGTTGCAAGACTTTCATTGGTACAGAGGAATTTATATTAGAACATTTTATGGAATTATTAAAACAATTATCTTTTCTTAGATCCCTATATGTACATGCAGAAATATTTTCTTTGTCATAAAGATCTAGTTTAAGAGGCGGTCGGACAGAGATTCTCGGCTGCCGGCACTGGCCGTCACTTTAACATGGAGCGCATATAATAATTCCTCGTTTTCTGGTCTATCCGTGTTCAAAAAATTATTTCCCACACTCAAAACATTGTAAATGTATGTAGGAGTAAGACTGTACAATATAAAAATCATAATCTTTAATTATAAGCCGGATATAAAATAAATCATTTCTTACATTTCCCATAAGGAATTGCAATACTTTCTGCTAAAATATAAAATGACTGGCACTATAAACAATTCTGGTGCAAACGCCATATTGAAGAGCATATATTCATTAGTGTATTGAGTGTGACAGATATTTATTTTTCGATGGTTAACATTAAGTTTTGTATTTTTTTGTAAAAGCTTGCAAAAAAGCCTTGCTTGCCGACTGAGTACTAGTTCGACGATGTCCCGGCCGATGGCAGCACAGTCGATTGTGGACTGCAGAGCACGTTTTCAAACCGCGCCAAATACAATTCATTTAATACATTTCTGACATACGTGGTATATACGATTAAGGTCTTCCAGGAACCAAATCCACCCTCCGGACCAGCACTGCGTCGTAGCCAAGCCGGCTTCTGACTCATGGATTATCTTGGAATTGCGATGTCCCGTTTTATTTAGGTCTATAATACTCGAGCTAAGATAAAACCCCAAGTGCTAATCCGAAATCCTATTTATATATTAGAGGCACAGGATAGGGCAAAATCTAGAAAAAAAGCCAGAGCCAGATTGCAACTTCAAATGGCTTTGAAACGTAAAAATACGACACATAGGACCTACTGTTTTTATTTTTTATATTTTTTTATATTTATATCGTTCCATATATCTATATAAATAAAATACAGTTTTGTCTGTAGGCCTACATTGCTTAGAATCATGCAGTTTCTGGTTACATTATGTTTCATAGCCTAAGAAAGCCGAAACGAGTCTTATCTCAATTTCTGTCTGTCTGTCCATTCTTTCATTCTGTCAGTGACGCCAAAATGTCATTTTACGTGGCCTACTCCTAGAAAACTAGAATATTTAAGCTCTTTAAAAAGGCCTGGAGAGAAATTGGGAAATTTTGTGTTTAGAGGGTCAAAAATTAGAAAAACCAATTTTTACCCCATAAAACCCCGTTCCCATGGTCCGATAATGCTGATTCGCGAACTCATTCAAGTTTATCCCGCCTCCCGCCTTACACCTTCAAACAAAATTTCATCAAATTCGGGCAAAAATTACTCAAGTTATCGTGTTCACGGACACACATATATATACAAATTTGAACGAATGGTGTTTTTGGCCTCTGGGGACATCAAAATGAAAAAGTAAATCGGTTCCGGGCGTAGGTCTTACAATGCCACTTACGGTAATAGCTACCTCATTACAGGGAAATTCGCTAAAATGTATGGGATAGGCCAAGTAGTTACATTATTGAGCCCAGTAGCACTAGTATATTATTTATAATTGAATACATTATCATGTATTTTTATATTAAAATTAAGTGTATAAATCAAAATGTCTTACTGGAAGTGCTATTTGTATCTCCAAAACATTTTTTGTGTCGAAAATTAGCATATTGTGCGGTGACGAACTGAGACCTGCTGAGACGCAAAGGGTGGGTGAGCGAAGGTAGCAAACCAGTGAAAGTGAAACATGCGGTGGGACAATAGACAAGGGCTAGTTCACAGGCTGAGGGTAGTCGAGTTGATGCTTTCAAGTTTCTAGGTAACACAGGGTTGTCAACCATCTCAGATCCCGTTATGCGACAGCCACGAAACTGGTGGCCAGGGGTGGTACTATTACAAAAATCTGTTTTGGGAGGACTGTGTTGTTGCTCGTGACGCCTGCAAAATATGGGATACGGGGCTCTATCCGACCGCCTCTTAAAGCTGGAACTTTGGAGCACAGGTCACTGACACTATATTGCCCATATTTTCCACTTTCACTGGACACTTGGTTCGCTGGCTCCTTGAGGTCATCATTGGTGTTGTCTCCATGTGTTAAAGGTGGGCAGGTCCGAGGTTGGTAAGGGTAGAGGTCATTGGTACTGGTCATGGTACTGGTATTGTCTCCAGATGTAGATTGCACAGTTACAGGAGAACAGGTCTCAGGCTGGTTTGCACGAAAGGCGTCAGGGGAAGGTTCAGCTTGTAAATATTTACTTAGGATGTTATGTTTCAAACTGGCATTAAACTCCTCGTAAGAAAGTCCATTCCACAGCACTCTGGAGGCCCAGCATTGTTTGTAAGATATTATTTCTACCCGGGCTCCAGTGAGCCTGTGAAATTTCACAATATTGGCTGCAAAATGTTCCACTGGTATTTCATCCCGCACACACCCAATGGCTGAGCAGATTAATTTATAAAATCTCTTTTTTTTAAAGTCTTCAGTTAAATCTGCGAAAGCTGAATCATAATCTTGATGTTTAGGTTTGGCATTAAACTTGCCTTTGGTAACAAGACCATAGACTCCGGCTCCACCTGGGACTTGTTGAAAGGCAAGATAGTCAGTTAAGCAGTCAGAAGCAAGTGGTTTGCCAAAAAGTCTCTTAAAAGTTACTGCCACACCAGCCGACATCTGTCTGTGTGCTCCAAAATCGCCTGATATGGTGTGCGCGAAAGCATTATTTTTTATTAGTTTTTCTTCCGAAATTTTATCTTCCATATCCATCTCCAAAACCTTGATTGGAATCTGATGCTTATGGTATTGTTGATTTATTTTTTTATTGTTCCACCAAATAAGGGTTTTTAAAAATATCCGAACTAGTAGAGTCTTGCCTTTAATGTTCAGGTGTAAACCATGCAGGGTATAATGTTGTCGCTTCAGTTGATTTAGGTTAATAATTGTAATGTTTTTTAACCGAGCTGCAACCTCCACGATGTAGTTATTAACCATTTGAATTTGATTATTTTCCGTACTATCCTGAGACTTGTCGTGTCGAATGGGTATGGTACATAAGAAAACCGGTCTGTCATTTGAAATCGATTTCAGTTCACTTTCTAGGTTCTTATAGATGTTTGTAAAGTTCCCCTTCAAACTGTCATTAGACCCTCCGAGAATTAGCAAAGGACCGTTTGCTTTGTCTATTGTAACTGAATCAATTACTTGCATTAACGTGGTGTTAGGCCTTACATAGCCGAAAGCTGAAACCGCACCATCACTTAGTTCAGTAATTATCGGAGCTAAGTCCTTCCCTTGGCTGTCCGCACAGAAAGTAATTTTAGTTTCATGGATCTTATTTACTCTAGTATTCTTGTATCTTCTTTGTTTTTTATTATTTCTTTGCGCTCTGTTAATTGTCTCCGAAATATCTTGACCATTCTTTTGACAGCTACTATCATTAAGAATTTCAAACCTGTTACACAAAGCCAAGGTGTGTTGTTCGGCTGATGTGGATTGCTTTATTGTCTTATTAAATTTGTTGTTAGGTCTTCCTTTAACAGTATTCCAGCTACCGTTACGGTTTGATTGAAACTTGCCAGGTTTATCACTTTTCATGGAAATACTTTCAGGAGGTTTTAATATTACTTTCTCTTCCTGTGGGATGCTTTCCCCATTTCTTCTCAACATTAACGAGATAATGGTTTCATCAGAGATTTTTCCCATATTAAAAAGGAAGGGAACGTTTTCTAATCATGTCATATGGTGTCAGTTTAGCCTGTAGAATAAAGTCAATATTTAAAAATCCAGTTGTAATAATATCGTGTACCAAAGATTCTACTGTCCAGCACATAAAAACCCCACAGTCACTGGTGTTAGACTGTTGTGGTCCGCCAAGTGCAACAAAATTAGGTGGCATTGTTCCATTAAGGTAGGTGGATAGTTTGTTTGCAACCAGAAGGGCGCTAGCTTCATTATACGGTGACATAGAGTCAAAGTACAAAAATTTGTTTTCAGGTTTATTGAACACTAATGTACTCCAGTGAGAACCACTATCTGATTGTGTTAGGTTTACTGAATCATTAACGGGCAAAATAACAATCTCTTTTTCCTTAACATTGAGTGAGTCTAGCATGAAATAAAAATTATTTGTATTCTTCACAATATGCACAACCAAGGGATTTAATATTAAGCTTGATTTTTTATCTAGGAAATTATCATTCAACAACTGAAAATAAGGTTGTATTGATAGATCAGTAAGCCATTTTCCATTCAAAAGCTCATCAGAAACTAGCAACATTTTTGCAGCTTCAATGTCAGTTTGAGTTTCAGATGTTGAATAGGGTTGGATAGTTTGTATTTCAGTTTGAGTACCTATATAGATAATGATAGATAATGATTACTAATCAAAAATTAAAATATTAGCATTAGCAAGGTCAGAGAGCTATTTCTTTACATCTGAGCTCAGTACTTTGTTTATTGGACCTTTTTCCACATGAAATAGCTATGTGCATTTGTATGTTTTGTAAAGTCACTGATGTGGTATAAAATGAAAAACGTTTCTAATATATTCGGGACTGCGGTGAAAATCCCTTTTTTATACTTGGCATGGTCAGTTTACATATAACAAGAGTAACATGAGCAAAAACCGTCATTTTGTTATTTCTTTAGGTTTTGATGACAAAAGCTCCTGGTTTCTGAAATCAATGCAATCGTGTACATTGTTGGGTACACAATGTAGACAAGGCCTTCTGCTTATCATGATAACACATTTCAACAATAGTAAACTTAACCCTGTTGGTCGACAAGGGTATTATAAAACACAGACATCATGTAACAGGTCAGGCGACAACAGGCTTTACTAATGAACCCCATCTGGTACACGCACACCATTTAAAACAGCACTCGTGTACCCCATCAGGCACTCAACGTCGCAAAAAAGCTAAAATGGAATGTAAAAATGAACACAAGAATGAGTTTGAAGCTAAATCAAGTCATATAACCAAAACTGACCTCTTATTTGCTTGAAATATAAAAACTAAAACCACCCAGATCAGTAGGAAATACTATTTTTATGAGTAGTTTATCTTTCATAACAAAAAAATACCTGAAATACAGTAACTTTTAGGTTCATAAAAGTGCTTAAGCTTACTACTTACTCTATGAAAAAAATTAATACAGAGTGTTTATAAAATTAATGCCGGGATTTTAAACGGTCGTCGCTAGGGGACTAGTCAAGATAATTAAATGATTTAAAAGTCAAATTGAAGGAAAATGAACAAAGTTTTTTCTTGTACTTTGATACAATTCGGAATAATTTAATAAAATTCAGATTCTCATCAATATTATAAGAGCGTAAAGTTGGATAAATCTGTATGCTTAGGGCGATCATCGGGTTTATCTGATGCATGTCTTAACTGAATCTTTTTAGGCACAAAGACTCTATCTTTTACAGACAACATCATTAAGTATTGATTTAGGTATGTTCAACTGAAGACTTTGTCGAGCAATTGATTTTTTGGGGCTTCTGATCCAGAACTGTCGCATTTCTTTGACGATTTCATCGATTGTGTTTTTGGCCGGCCAGGTAAATGTCTTTTTAAAACACTTAGATGCCACCAAACTCATTAAACCAGCGTCAAATTTATTTATCATCAAGGTGATTTAAATTTAGTTTAATTTAGCAATCGAAATAAACTCTGTGAACCACAGCTATTACACTCAGTGTCTTCTGTTGCGCCGTAAACATCGTACTGGCGACATGCAACATGCGAGTGTTTGGCAATAGCGGCCTACTACCCCGCACCTGTTTTGCGGATGCCAAGGTCAAAGTTTCCTTCCTTGCCACAAGGGAAACAAAACTTAGTTATTTTAGCTTCAATGTAACATATAAAACGTTTAGTTACCTTGAATATTATCCAAGCAATTAAAATTTTAAATCCCGGCATTCTTTTAAAAACTCACTGTATTGAATATGCATTTTCATTGAGCTATTTAATCAAGACTGCATAGTGTCAATTATGCCAAAGCCTCAAATTGTAGCTTATGTACTGTATAACAAAAACAGTGACTGACCATATCCAGTTCTGCCCCATCCTGTGGCAGTGAGGTAGCTGCCTGGGTCACCAGCAGGAGTGTCGAGCACTGGCAGACAGGCAGGGCGTAGGTTGTGGCTCATCTGTAGACCTGGAGCTATGCGGATCAGCGCAATGTCATTGTAACAGCTGGGCTCGTGATAGTCTGGGTGAACTGTCACCCTCTCTACATCCATGTTCTGGCCCACATCAGTGATCAGGTTACGTGTTCCCAGACGGACAATGATCGGAGGACCCCTGTAGATAGAAAGTATTGATTAATGATTAGGACAAAATATAAGGTAAGAGTCCTACTAATGTATTAATGTGAATTTTCAGCTCTACTCTCTAAAATATTGTTTGCTGAATAAATAGAAATATTTTACACTTTTTTTTCAATCGACTTTTGGATTGGCTAAGCTGTATAAATTTGGACAAATATTTTGTTTGATAAACGTTATTGAAGAATTTGTTTGGGAACTGTGTTATATGTGATTACTGTGTGATATTCAGGTCATCAGTCTGATAAAAGTTCAATATTGTTAACAATTTTTAAGATGAAACGCATAATATGTAATGGCCTTAAGCTTGTCATGGTATTGGAACAATAATCTTAACAATAATATCTGTCTAACACATGATACTGATGTCGGTTTGCACTATATTTATGACTTTGTATTGTTGAGATATATGTAAAATGTCGCACATCAAATTTCTATATATACAGACATTGAGTATACACGTACTAGAGTAGCCACTCAATGGAGGTTGTCATTACCTGAACAGCGCAGTTGCAAAGTAGTGTCAGCGGCCCGATCTACTCCACCTGGAGCTTGTCGGAAAAGCAGTTTAGTTGTTTTTACTATTACTTTGATTGTGGGCCTATGTTGTAAAATGTCATTTTTGTTGATAAATTTGTTTGTTTGTTCCTATAGGTCGGCCTCTTAGAAAGCGTCCTCCTCGTAGCATTGGTGCGAGAGAGAGATACCGAGCTGTGGGAGTGAGACAGAATATGGCTCTTCCCCCACTCCGCTGCCACCCCACCCCCACCCTTTATTTTATTTTACCTTTTATTTTACCAAATCATATGTTTTCTTGTAATTTTCCAAAGACTTTTGAATGACAATCATTAGGAATCAGCATTGAATATATAACACTATTATTTAGTTTTATATATCCGTTGTATTCAACATTGAGTGAATATACTGTCCAGTTATATGGTACCATTTAACCGAAAAACAGTAAAGCAGTAAATACCGTACTTGATTGGCTGATTGGAGGGGTGGGGGATGTGCGTGCACACACCTTCTTTTATACTCCTTGCCATCCCGGGTCCAGAGGTATTACAGTACTACGGTACATGAGTACTACGGTAATAGCTTATACCCTATATAGGAAATTCAATAAAAGGCCGTCACTAAGATGTGTGATCGTTACTTGCGATGGTGGCAACGCCATTATAATTGCAGTCACGTTATTTGCGTCTTACACGGGGGAGCGAGCTGGCGTAGTGGTTAGAGCGCGAGACTTCAGTCCCTGAGGTCCCGGGTTCGATCCCCGCCAAGTCACCAATGGATTTGATCTAAGTGACAATGCCGCAACCCCTAGGTCTAGCCTAAAGTAATGTGTACAACAATCCCAGGCTCGTGCCTAGCGTACTAGGACAAAAAAAAACAAAAAAAATTGCGTCTTACACAATCCTGGCAACATCCGCGATAATCTCCTACGATTATCTCAGTTACCATGACTCTTTGTGATTGCGGCCATATCTTAATCGCGGCGAGATTCGTGATGATTGTCCGTATCGCGGCAACAGCCGTTGCGGTGGGTCCTGTATTCGGCGTAAGTTTGCTGTGGTCATGATTTTCCACTTCGCAAAACGAGAGAGGCCATTCGGTAAGCGTCTAGTAAATTTTTGAAGTTATTAAGAAAAACCATAGTCCGAGGGGTTCTCCTACGGGTTTAGTAGTTTAGTGCTTGGGTTTAGTGTATGTCATTAAAGTGTAATAAAATCTCTACAACTTAAGCTATATGTCGTTTTGTGCTGTTTTTTGTTAAATATGTGTAAAAACAATCTTGTCAATTTATTTGTAACTATTTATTTTCTACTAAGGCTACTTAAATGAGAGATTTTCAATTATATAAAACATAAGTAGGAGTTGCAAAAAAGGTATTATATTAAAAACTATTTGTATATGGTCACCTAAAAATATATTGACTGTTAGACAGCCACAGTTACAGTATTTACTGCTCACTGTTTTTCGATTAAAAGGTACTCACTATCAAAATGTTATATACTACCCCCATTGAATATACAGGGTGCGGCAAAAAACCGATCTATTTTCTTCAGTGCACTGTTCAGCGACAGGCCGTCTGAGGGTGGTGGGAGTAGGATAGCCTATACGATGCCAATAGGCATCCGATCTGACTTTGGTTGGCCTTTCAGCTTCCTTTTCAACGCAGAAGCCGTTGTTCTAAAGTTAGTAACCCACTGCATTATTGTTATACGCAACGGAAATTCTCCATGTCACCTCAATTGAAATAATGCACGAAACTGCTAATGCTGCTGAGTTGCAATGAATGAATTCAATACTTTTTAAAAACAACTCCATAACAACCGCACGTAGCTCAGGCGACCACTGCTCTGTGACTAGAAAAAATGGCATCGTGTAGGCTTTCCAACGAGCTTACTCCCACCACTTTCAGACAACCTGTCGCTGAACAGTGCTCTGCAGAAAATGGATCGGTTTTTTGCCGCACCCTGTACTGTATAACACAATAACTATATTCAATATTGAATACAACACTATGTTGGATATAAAACGCTAAATAGTGTTATATATTCAATGCTAATTCGTAATGATTGTCATTCGAAAGTCTTTGGGAAATTACAAGAAAACATGTGATTTGGTCAAATAAAACACGTTCAGTTCGCACGTGACGTCACTATGCACACACCTTGTGAAAACGGCCATTGGCGGAGAGGGGGAAAGTACCCTCCCTCTCTTTCACCTCCCCTACATGCGCTAAAAATTTCGCGCAGGTCGTTTTCTAAACGGCCGACCTATAGTTTTGTTGTTTTTTAAGAAATTTGTGGTCCTCAGAGGCGCAATGCACTACCAACAGACTGCCCCAACCCAAGCATCAGCGGTCCGAATTATGTTGCCAAAATCGGTGACAACTATTAGCATTATCTGACCCCTCTCATACAAGTATACTCAATGATACAGAGAACATTGGTAATCCAGCCAAAAATGCCTAAACACGGCAGATAGACCACATTTAGAAAAAGGTCAAACCATTGAGAGACCATTTAACACAGTCGCTGCGGCCCATCAATGGCAGGCTCGGCCCTGGTGCGGTGCAAAGTCGAACGAACCCGATTGCCGAACAATTGGCTTTTAAATATGTTTAACAAATAGCAAATAATGTGCGGTGATGTGCTGTTACGACCAGAGTCGATGTAGTTCCCTAAAATACCCACAGATAGCTTGAAACGTAGCCGGTCTCATTGTATTGCCAATTAGAGGGAGAAAGATGGGACAACAAGTTGATTACTAAGCATGCCAGACAGGAATTCTACGGGGAAATTAGCTACCAACCTATACCACAATTAGACTGGTATTAGAGACACAATACTAACGCGTACCAACCGACCTTGGCGAGAGCCTGAGCCGCACTGAAAGGGCAAACAATGCATTACGGGCTGTGTCCCCCGGTGACGCAGCCGCCTATCACCACGGCACACCATGCGTCACCGGGGACCCGCAGCAGTGAATGTGTTAAATTAGTGAATTAGTGTTACCATTCATGAATTTGAGATATCCAAACACTACAAATTCACATTATTCATAAATGCTATTTTGATTTGAATGGATTTGATTTGCTTTATATTAATCCTATATTATGTTGGTCAGCTCTCAGACGATGGTGTGCCTTCCCACATGCATGACTAAACCACTAAAACTGTCGATTCTCTACAATCCAATAGCAATCGCCTGGCTCACACATGCTATCCGTCCAATGGAAGAGCAAACGACCAACAATATTCTGACAGAAATAATAACAATAAATAACTTCAGTTTAGGGAGGAAGACCTTTTTTATGAGTTGTATATTTGATGTTTGTGTTTCATTCCCCGATTTGTCGCCATTTGCCAGTGGCTAATATGAACAGTAAGTCTTACTAATAGAGTTATTTGCCTGGTGATTGGAGAACAAACTATCAAGACCCTAGCAATACATGTATATTTTCAAATTATTATTTTTTTATGTGAAATGTAATGAATCTAATTGAAATAAGGACCCTAAAGGTCTTGTACCAGTATTGCATAGACTCACCACTTGGTATTTCCACAGTGAGCTGCAGTCAAGACATATCTCTCACTGATCAAAGATCCTCCACAGAGGAAGTCAATCCATTCACCTCGATCATATCCCAGAGCTGCCTGTGACAAATAAACGTAAATTAAAACTAACCCTTGCGGTAATGTTTTGTTGTTTCATTTTTAATTTGAACATTTCATTTTTAAATTTCCCAAAATTAGTAAACTCTGCTAGACTACAGAAAACATACTACTATAACCCAGAATTCCAACCGCATGGTAAAAAGCGTTAAGTACTTTGAGAGAGCTTTGCCTGTCAATTCGTAGGCAGCGCCGCCAGCGCTGTGCATAGCAACGCTGATGGCGCTGCCTAGGAATTGACAGGCAAAGCTCTCTCAAAGTACTTAACGCTTTTTACCATGCGGTTGGAATTCTGGGTTATAGTAGTATGTTTCTGTAGCTAGACCATGCTAGACTGATACTTTACAAAGATGACTATTAAACATTATTATCCATTATCTTAAATGGTAATAGCAGTTTTTTTTTATAATTTTTAAAAACTAGTTCCTGATTATAAGAGCTCTACAGTAAAGGAAAGAACCTAAATTCGGATATGAGTTTGTCATAAATCAAACATTAACAGATTCTCTGTCAAAGGGAAATGATGGGCACACCATAAGCTAAGCAATCTTTTCTTCGTCTTTTCAGCGCAGTGCTGATATTCAAACTGATAAAATAATGGTACGAAGGTAGAATACACCAGAGGAAACTCAGAAGGAAATTGTTTGTGTCAAAAGTTTTTGTAATAAATGCGTGACACATAAGCTGGCACTTGGGCCTGGCACGAGTAGTGTAGGCAGGGAATGGGTGGAGGTAAGGAAAAGACTGGACTCCAAAAATTTCGCTGAGTCAATGGGTTGATTCCCTGTGTTTCATGTACTTGAGCGCTTTCAATCTACTGTTCCGAGGACAGTTTTCGCAACCCTCATTGGCACATAATGTTTTTGAAGTAGAGGGTAGTAGCAATCGGTCAAGTGCCAGCTTACGTGTCACAGGGTGTATTGGATTAGTAAAAAATAAAAAAGAATAACTGTCCCTTCCCTATCAGTTTCATTTTCTGGTTAAGGAGTACCATTACAAATTGATAATCATTTGATCATGTGTTTAAAACATAACTGTAAAAGGAAGCAATTTTTTTCAAATACAAGTCATTTTGTCACTGCTTGTATGGAAAACGGTGTGATCGACAATATTTCAATATAGTTTGATCTACTAACTTACACAGTAACATAATTAACTTGTATCTATTTAAAACATAACCTGGACCTACCATATGGGGGAACTCCCCCTTGGAAGCATCGATTCCGCCAACAATTAGAGGCAGAGGCTTTGAGCAATGGTTTTTTTGCATCAAAACAGGAAACAGTGAGGGCAGTAGAGGAATGGCATACAGCGTCTCATCTTCGGTGTATTTTTCATACAGCTTGCAATCTGTCATCAAAGTTATTGTTTTAGACATTTCAAGTATGTTTCAAATAAGTTTTCATCATACATTATCAATAGAAAAAGCATCAAACTATAGCTTCTTGTTCAACAATGTAATAGTTAGCATCAAATTTATCAACTCCAAAGTTTTTACGGTAATTAAAGCAGGTTCCTTCATGGTTTTTTTTTTTTTTTTTTACTAGCTTTAAAGAAAACTTGTACAGTAGCGACAATATTAATTTAACAGCCAATAATAATGTTTGGAGTGATATTAAGTGCAAGAACGCAGGGCTGGCTGGCAAGAGCCGTCAAGGGCCCCTGGGCTGAGCGATCCCGGGCCCCATATTTTCCTGATTAATAACACAACTTCGCCAAGCATTATTATGGTCTAGTCTTCTTTGTGCTGTTTTGTTCCACAAATAACAATACATATCTAAAATGCTTAATAGTTTGATTAATTCCCGTGCTCATATATTTGCAACTTTATTCACAGTCAAAATTTGAATTTAGCAACTCAAGTCAAAAATCCAAAATCACTTAGTGAACTACTAAAATTTTTGACTAGCAGATTAAATGTACTGGACAGAAACAATTTTACATTTGACTGGGCCTGCAAGAACGTTATCTTTAAAACGTGTAGCTCTTTATTCTCTATTCGAGCAACATGTAAGCAGGAAAAATACTTTTTTTCAAAAACAGACATGTGTTTCTATGTTGACTCTTGAAACAAGTACTGTAACAGTTACCTGAGGAGCCCCCATTACTTACTTTTAGCACTTTTATATCCAACGGCGAATTTCAACCTCCTTTTAGGCAAACTGTCAAGATTATTTGCAGAGTTGTATTTCTTAAATTCCTTTGCATATTTTTGATAAAGCTTTTGAAGGTATTGAACTCGATCAATGTTATCTCCCTTATCTTCGTCAGGGAAAATAATATCTTGATCTTTCTCCTCACTTGAAGTTTGACTTTTTGTATCTGTCGGTTGTAGCGAGTTGTCCAAACTATTTTGTAACAGTTCGATGTTGACTATTTTCATCTCCTCTGGGACTTGTTGGTCAAGAGAGTACTCCCACTCCGTTGGTGAAGTAGTGGTGGTCTTCTCTGGTTGGAGGTAGAGTACCTTGGGTCTGTAGCTCAGACGGGAGCGGTTGTGACGCACCCTGTGTAACATTGACATTTAAATTTGAGTTAAAAATGGTATGGAAATATTATATTGTTAGATGAACATGTATACCTCTAATGATACATAAGAATAATCAAAATAACATAGTCACTGAACATGAATGGCTCTCTAAAGACATATTTTAAAGATTGAATTATTTTCAAAATATTGAATATAAAATTAATGCACCATAAACGGTTATTTAAAAAGCTCAACATTCAACTCATTACTATTAATGATTCAATAAATTGATATAAAAAAAACATTAACTTTTGGGCTCTTTGTATGTAAATTAGGGTCTTGATTGAGCTCTTGATTGGGGCCAAGTGACATAGTTTAAGTCTTTACTTTATCAACTACTATTCTATGAATTGTAGTCGGTTCTCACCCCTATTGGCAGATTGTCTAGTCATTCAAGCCAAAAAACAATGTGGGAGAAAATCTACACTTCCGCCAAGTATGAATTCTATTCTATCGCTGCTTCTATGCTTCTTTATGTTACCAGATTAATATATGTGTATGTAGAAAAGGCTAAGGCATAGAAAATGTGCATGCTTGGGGAGTTTGCAGAAGGTGTTTGCTTGGTGACGTCAGCAGCATTCATCAGTTCCCATCAAAATAGTGATTACATGTGTTGAAACTTAACTTACCATGAGTGAATCCATCATACAATTGGCAAAAAATTGCAGATATTTAATACCTCATCCAAATAGCCTCCCCCATTCTATGCACATTTGTATATCCAAATAATATCCTCCAAGCATATCCGTCAAGTGGCCATGGACTTCAATAGCGAATTACGCCTTTTTTTAGTTAGAGGTGGGAAAATGGTACTGATTATGCGCATGAAAACCAGCTTGTAGTGTGGGACTCCTATGGGGAAGACCTATAAACTACTTAACTACCCACTAAAAACCTCCTCTACTCTTCGGACACAAGCCTGGGAGCACTTCATCAGATCTAGTCCGAGTTTGCCTATGCCCAAGGGGCTTACTTTACATCTAGCTGTTTATTTTTTACCCAACATAGACTACAATCTGATGTAGGTAGTTCTTTTTAGCAAATCTATTCAACCCTCAGCACCTCAAGATGTTGAGTGATTCCAAGGGAAAGGGGAAGAAAGTTAAGTTCTCCTTGTTGGGAATGCACTGGGAGTAAATGCAGTTGGATGAACCGGGCTTTCCCATTAAGTGCAGGTATTACTGAAAATATCCTTGACCTGACAAGAACTTTCCAGTAGATAAGAAGCAAAGGTAGTAGTCTAGCACCGTGCCTCCGTTCCACTGTACCTGGTGAGTCTAACGATCCATCGTCCTTGAGTCTCCTTTTTCCTGCTCTCCGGCCATATCTGGAAAGTTCGGAAGTGCTTCTCCATTCTTGCAGCATCCTTACCAACCAATGTACCCCTTTCTTTGGTAGATTGCCATCCTCTCCACTGCCAAGAGGACACTGTGTGGTATGCGGATGCAACCCTGAGTGCTACCTGACTCTTCACTCATGTGAGCCTTGACCGATACACATCTCAGAATTGTAAGGAAGCATGGGCTAGACTGCAGTTATCAATTAAGAGTCTCCCCGGCTAGACCCACGACATGAAGCCTACTGAGAGTAGCAATACTCCTACTTACTCCTAGCGCTTTGTGCCCGTGCGCTGTGCAGAATATCTGGTCTCTCCAGCTGAACTTGTTGAAAGACAATGAGGTACTTAGCAGTGAGTATTGACTGAACAACTGTGTTCCCCAATCCTAACATAAAAGGATGACGGTCTCTGTGCTGCACAAAGGGTGTGACCTGGTTTAGCACCGGTGTCAGTTGGGCCAGCTCAATGTTACTCGCAGCTGTAAGATATACGACAACTATACCAAAACAGTCTCCTCTAGCAAATTAGATTTGAGAAGGTTGTTACGACAACAATTGACGCCTTACACTGACCACAGAAATCTTATCACAGAACACAGTTCATACTTGTTGAGAGTGTTTATTCTCCATCTCATTGTTTTTGGCTTTAAGACTAGACTAGTTATTGTTGTATAGGCATAGAAAGTAAGATAAATAAGTAAAGAACACAACACTGGTTTGAGATTGGCGCTAGCTCTCTCTGACTCGACAGGAGCTCAATGTGACTTTAATTTATGGACAATCTCCAAAACATTATGGTCTTAAATCGTTTACAGCTTTGATATTTGGTTTTAGTTTTTAATTCTACAATGATAATGAGAAATCTCAAAGAACACTTAATAGTTGTAATAAGAAGTAAGTGTGAGACCTGTGTATAGGTAGCATATATTGCGCCATGTAGTCCCGGTGGTTGTACTGCTGACGTTCTGCACCTCCCAGGCAGCAGATGGTGCTCTCTGTACACTGGACCAATGATGACGTTAACCGTAAAGAGAGAGGACATTGCTGAGGCAGCACACAGTTGCCTCCTCGCTCAGCACAATCTGAGACATGATTTATTATTGTTATTATTATCATCAATTGAGGTGAGGAAGCCATCTAGTTGCGTATTTTAACCCAAATATGAGTGAATTGACCTGTCACTTCAGCATACACTTATATAGACAAGACTCTGCTGAAACATCTACTTACCATTCCTACGCCCCAGTGGCGGTGCCAGGAGGGGGGGATGGGAGGGATATATCCCCCCCGAAATAGTTTATATTTTATTGGCTAACATAAATACTATTAGCTTGAGCATATTTTAGAGCTCATAAATACGTATAAAATATGTTTTTGGGCTTTAAATTCAACATTTTGTTAATAAATACCCCGTACCCCCCTTTTTCCCAGACCCCCCGGTGTTCATCCCCCCGAAATGAAATCCTGGGACCTCCACTGCTACACCACTTCTCAAGATTTAGAATAGGTACCACACTTTTGCAAAGAAGTCGTTAATGAGGTATTTCCTAGTTGATCGTCCATTTTGAACAGTCATCCCTTGTTCCTGTAATACTGACTTGGGTAGAAAAAGGGTGTCAAGGGTTTTAAAGGTAGGGATCCCTCCCTCCCCTTCGTATTCGTTTTCAAAATAGGTACTATCTCAGGTTTTACAATATTAGCTTTGTAAGAGTGAACGTTAAAAACATTTTTGCCGGTCCCTTCAAGTATATTTCAAATAGTGAATACATTTATTTTATGACTATACAAATGTACAAAAACCCATTTGGCCAGATTCGCTAAATCTGATACAAGAATCTCCATTTACCATCATATCATTGCAGGTAGATGAAAACAAAACATGATTCGGCTTACCTCTTGCAGGCAGATATGCAAAGAGTTGAACAATAAAAAGTCACAGTATCCCAACCTTTTTTCATCGTCTTAAGACTTTAATGTTAAAAAGACAAAAATGCTGGACAGATTATATTTAAAGTATCCAAGGTCTTAACGCAATTTCATCGGTTTCGTGAGTGTGTCCTTGGATTTTCCTGATCACATTGGATATATGTACTTATGATTGTCAACCTCTCAACACCTATTTGATTTAGAGTAAAACAAAATATCGTTTCCAAGATCATTGGCCGTTTGTGGTTTGTACATAGTTTATTATCAATACTGTTACAAGATCCGACCACATTGTAATGAAGTGTTAAAGAAGGCCAAGGTTTGGTATCGAAATATGGACAAAAACACCAAACACCAGAAAAGGTACTCGGTGACATGAAGGAAAAAGTACTGAGGGAAAGACCTGAGGGAAAGCACCAAGAAAAGGTACTCAGAGACCAGAGGGAAAAGTACTGAGGGAAAGTGCTCAGGGAAAAGTGCGCAGGACTTTCGTTGGGTACTGGGTACCTTCCCCCACTCTCAAAGCACTTTCTGGCCCTATATAAGGAGCATCCTTGGGGGACTTCGTGAGTTGGGCCTCCGGGCCTGCCCCCGCCGGTAGGCGCCACCGGTGGGTCCCTTCCCCGCACTAGAGGCGTGTTGAGCTCGGTGCATCCCATCCCCGCACTAGAGGCGTGTTGAGCTCGGTGCATCCTGTCCCCCAGCACTAGAGGCGTGTTGAGCTCGGTGCTTCCCGTTCCCCAGCACTAGAGGCGTGTTGAGCTCGGTGCATCCCATCCCCGCACTAGAGGCGTGTTGAGCTCGGTGCATCCTGTCCCCCAGCACTAGAGGCGTGCTGAGCTCGGTGCTTCCCGTTCCCCAGCACTAGAGGCGTGTTGAGCTCGGTGCATCCTGTCTCCCAGCACTAGAGGCGTGTTGAGCTCGGTGCATCCCGTTCCCCAGCACTAGAGGCGTGTTGAGCTCGGTGCTTCCCGTCCCCGTACTAGATGCGTGTTGAGCTCGGTGCTTCCCGTACCCGCACTAGAGGCGTGTTGAGCTCGGTGCATCCCGTTCCCCAGCACTAGAGGCGTGTTGAGCTCGGTGCTTCCCGTCCCCGCACTAGAGGCGTGTTGAGCTCGGTGCATCCCGTTCCCCAGCACTAGAGGCGTGTTGAGCCCGGTGCTTCCCGTCCCCGCACTAGAGGCGTGTTGAGCTCGGTGCATTCCGTTCCCGTACTAGAGGCGTGTTGAGCCCGGTACATTCTGTTCCCGTACTAGAGGCGTGTTGAGCCCGGTACATTTCGTTCCGGCACTAGAGGCGTGTTGAGCCCGGTGCAGCTGGTTGGCGTGTTGAGCCCCAGCATCCATTTTATTTCAGTTTAAGTCCCCGGTGGCCAAAGGAGCTGCCTCCCGGGACCATGTATCCGTCTGGAGGTGGATGAAGAGGCCCACCTCCACTATTTAGAAGAGAGCCGTCTAGGAGAGACGGTAGTTGGCATTTGACATTGAGACTGGCGACACCTAGAGAAGCTGCTGCGTTTGGGTTCAGGAAGGTGAGCCGCCCAGCACTTCCCGAGATAGGAGTTGGCATCCGTCGGTGACAGCGTGAGGAGCTGCTACGCAAGGGACTACCTTCAGCCTAGCACTTTTTGAGAAGAGTCTGCATCCGACAGTTACTGGTGGCATCGAGTGGAGCTGCTGCGTTTGGGCTCTGGTTGGTGAGCCGCCCAGCACTTTCCGAGACGGAGCCAGTTAGAGGACTGCAGGAGCCGAGAGAAGGAGAGTTCCGCAGGAGCCGAGAGTAGAGGACTGCGGGAGCTGAGAGAGAAGGAGTCTGCAAGAGCCGTCCGTGCTGACAGGACTTCCACAGACTGGGCTTTGTCAAGAGATATAAAGATAAACTGTAAATATTGTATATAGATTCTATAATTAGTCCTGAGATAATAAATGATGTATAATCTATGCAAGTGTTCAGTCAATCTGAGTCCTAAAATCCCCGAAAAGGTCTGAATGCGGTACAAAGGTAAAAACCTGAGAAAGTACGTTACAACATAATACATGTTAAATATTAAATGATGGAAGCTAGAAAAGCATCTTTCCGCGTATCCTTTAAAACGTGTCTTTAAATTCTCGTATTTATGACAGTATGCATTAAATAGCGTAAAAACATGCTTTAAATTAGCTAAATCGACCAAAAAATTAATGAAAGTAGTGTGATATTTAAATTTGAAGATTATAATTCCAGCAAATAAACTTTCACTCAGAATTTAACGGCAGAGCTTGCCTTACAGTTGATAAAAATATAAAACCGTACAAACATCAAATTTTTAGGCCACCCAGTAAAAAAACATCCGGTTTACACTAATTAGCAGTTAGCTCGTGGGCTAGGCGCCACTCACACCATCCTGGAGGCCCTTAGCAACACTGGGTATCCCCACAACCCTCCAGTAGTTACACCAAGGTAAATACTTGGTCATTCACGCACACGATGATTGGGGGTTTCCAAACAAGTTTTCTTCCACCTCTTCTACTATAATTTATTTTATCTAAACTTCATTATAATGTTGTTATTGTAACTTTTCGTGGTAAGGTACGTGACTGAAAACTATGATGAATGATTAGGTAGCTTTTGAGTGAGCTAAGAGGGTTCACCTAACCATTGGAATACGATAAAGATTGTAAAGATAAAGATTGGCTCGAGATCATTGTTTTAAAGTTCGAGACGAAGGCGAGAGCATTTTTTTTACGATCGAGAGCTGCAAAACCCTTTCAGCCCGTGGTACGAACGCTATTTTTCACCACACTATAAAGATTGTAACTGATAAAGGAATCATTTGGTAGGAATTCACTATTGCCTACCAAATTTTGACTTCAGACTCAGACCAAAGATAATTATATTTATTTTGAGATTACTCTATATTTCGGTTTCGGTAGACGAGACAAGAAGTAAAGGTATGTTAGGGTTCCAACTTTAAAGGTTCCGATTCTTATTTCAACGGCTAGAACGACATAATAGCACAATTTTGCACGTTTGATTTAATATTACCTCCAAACGGTCGTTTGAATTGCTTCACAACCCCCATAACATAAATAATATGTATTGTTAGATCTGCCTAGACTAGAGTTTATCTAATCTGCTTATGACCAAAATACGTTTTACGCAACTAATACTATTTACTATACACTTCTAGGTCAATGGTATACCAACCTCTACGTAGGTAGATGTGTATAGTCAATGCTAATACTCATTCAGTTGAAAATAAGCTCTTAAAGCACTCTGAAAGAGCTAAACTATAGCCATTTCACGTTAACCAGTAGACCTCAAACGCATTTTTACAAGTTTTTTTTATTTAGGAATTCGGGAAATTTTTATTTGAGGTACGTAAATGTATTTGATTTGTTAATGATTCTAGGGAATTCTGAATTTTGGGAGAAGTTTTAGATTTTCAACAACACCATTTTGAAAAATTGTGTGATATAAATAAAAATTTACAAAATACAGATAAAGAAATAGTATGTTTTGTACCTAGGGCCAAAAATGAGATTTTGCCGGCTCGAGATCATTTTTTTAAAGTTCGAGACGAAGTCGAGAGCGTTTTTTTTTAACGATCGAGAGCTGCAAAACCGTTTCGGCCCGTGGTACGAACGCTATTTTTCACCACACTATACAAAATTGAGAAAATATATAGAACATGCTCACTAACAGTCAACACATCTGCAACTTTTAGGAATAAATAGTTGCTAAAGAGTAATGACAATAAAACAAGTCTATTGCAATGCATATGGATACAGCTTGTGTATTAAATGTACATTAATGTTTTAAGTAAATAAGCCAACAGCCCGATTTTCGAATGGCCGCAAAAACCTGCTTGGTCCCCATACAACGAAGAAAGCTGGCATTGACAGCAATACGTAGCTTTCAGCCTCAATTTATGTTTGTAAAACTGCCAAAAACATCGTAGTGTGGTGAAAATAAATTAGTTGACGTTGACGAGATTGAGGAAGTAATGTTCTGTTAGGTGTCTCTTGTAGTAGTGTTTCACGTGTAATGCCGAGTATCTCACACGTTAACACCTGTCCTAGCCTACAGCCAGGTCAGTGATCGGGCGCGGGGAAATCCCGGGGCTCAGCACACTTCCAGAAACTGACAGCCCAGGTCCAGGAGCGCCAATCTCCACCACACAAAGACAAGGTGGGCTGTAAACATCTGAAACTGTTTTCAATAGTCTTTGTGACGAACGCATTCTAATATCACGAAAATGTTTGTTTGTGTTTTCCTTTGCCGTCCTCGTGAGGAAGATCCGGCCGCATTCTCACCAGTGTTTGTGAGAGTTCACCCCATCAATCCATCCTGTCCACTGTTACGTAACATTTTGTTTTGTTTCTACTGAATTATGTCCTATGAAGAGAGTAAATAAACGTCGAAATTTGACAAATGTCTTTGATTTTATCCGCCCTTGAATGTTATTTGTGTTGCAGTCGATCAATCAACGACAATTAACAGTAGAAATAATAAATACAATTGTAAATAACATGCACAACAACAATATTTGCAACACACAACAATCTTGAGATATTACCTACAATGCACTGCGTAAGTAATAAATATAAATCATCTGAACCTAACCATAACAATCCGATGGTCTCACGAGATCTACTACATACCGTCCTAACATCATCCCCTAACACAGCCGAATGTAATGTTATATTTTAAACATATTAAGGGCGCAGAGACACACAAAGTGTTTTCAACCAAACATACACCGCAATCTTTAAAACACTAACTAGATTACAACTTAACTATTGCGTAGTCTAGAAACTGACTAAAAACTATTTGAAAAATCATTGCTACGATAAATAACTCCGAATGTCAACGATCTTCATCCTACTTCATTGTTCACAAACGGGGTTAGTACTATCACCACGGAATAGTACTTACCATTTAAATAAAGAGTATAAATGAATTGAAAGTAAAATATTAGTGTGCAAGTAACGAACATTGGTATGACAGAGTGGCTGACGCCTCTATTCATATTTTTTTGGTATGAGAATGATAATCGTTCACTCAACGTATTGCAAAAATCTAATTACAAAACTACAGCTATAAAAAACAAATTACTTGGTGTAACAACATGGAGCCAAAGAGGTAAACTGTTAGCAATATTTTTTAAGGTTAAAAATATGTAGACATGGCTATTTTTTACAGAGCAAGGAATTTTTAAATCTGTTTTGTAGTGTTGCAAATTTTAAAAGTTATCCTTGATATTTATCCTAAACATTTCTTGGCATTTAGAAGCTCTGTCATTTGCAAAATTCCATTCACATAGCATGTTTTATATGTTTTCTGTAACTTATGCGTTTATTTCTTACTTTAAAAACCTTTGCACCTGCTTGGATATACAATTATTATCCTAATAATAATACTATTTAATTAGTCCAAGCAAACTAAACAAACTTACATAGGGATCGTTAAAAAAATTGCAAGAAAACGTTTTATGGTTTTATTTTGTAGAGTTGGGTTTGCAGAATGACATACTAAAAGTTGCCAAAAATCGGTGCACGAGAAAACCACTAAAATCGCAATTTAAAATGGCGGCTTTTTCCAACATTGGACAAACTAAAAAAACATTTTTCACATGCATTTGTTATGCACATTTTTCGAGATATTGACTTGGGACCACCGCCTGTATTTATTGGGTGGTTAGTACTTCATTTTGATAGGGAACATGTTTTTGGCCGCCATCTTGGATCTGCCATATTGGACATAGATAATTTTGTTCAATGTAATGATAGTGTTGTGACACATCATTACCAACTACATTTTTACACTGATTTCAATGCCGAAATCCGTTTTTAAATATCTTTATTCATTTAGAAGATATATTCAAACGAAAACTCTCCACCATACATTTCTTATGGACGTTTCGTAGTTTGATAATTTTTTTAAAACTATTTTTCTGATGTCTCCAGTTCTTATTGACGCTTGTAGTTCATTCTAGGCTTAAAATATTCAGTAATGTAAGGGCTTTCATTTGAGCTCTTGATCATTAAAATCAGACGAGTTAAAGACCAGCTACGAACCTCAGAACAATATTAAATTTCACTTTTTAGAAATATATTTTTATTAAAAGATTTATAACTCGGGTTGTTAATACGTCAACAAGTTATTTCTGGTCTCAAATTACTCAGTGAATGTTTAGCTTTGATTTTATTAATCACTAAACAAAATCTGACAATTTAAAATGAGTCATGGTTCTTAATTTAACATTAAAATGTATTTATTTTGAAATTTGTCTTTAGTTAAGGACATATATCCCAAACCCTAATAACTCCCGGAAAGTAATCCATAGCTAAAATAAAAGTCAATAATTTGGCGAATTATTTAAGACTATAAAGAGTTTTGGGAGTTATTTAGAATTGGGGATATACGTCTTTAACTAAAGACAAATTTCAATATAAATACATTTTAATATTAAATTATGGTCCATGACTCTTTTTAAAATTGTCAGATTTTGTTTAATGATCAATAAAATTAAAGCCAAACATTTACTGAGTAAGTTGAGACCAGAAATAACTTTGTGACGTATTAACAACCCGAGTTATAAATCTTTTAATAAAAATATATTTCTAAAAAGTGGAATTTAATATTGTTCTGAGGTTCGTAGCTGGTCTTTAACTCGTCTGATTTTAATGATCAAGAGCTCAAATGAAAGCCCTTACATTACTGAATATTTTAAGCCTAGGATGAACTACAAGCGTCAATAAGAACTGGAGAGATCAGAAAAATAGTTTTAAAAAAATTATCAAACTACGAAACGTCCATAAGAAATGTATGGTGGAGAGTTTTCGTTTGAATATATCTTCTAAATGAATAAAGATATTTAAAAACGGATTTCGGCATTGAAATCAGTGTAAAAATGTAGTTTGTAATGATGTGTCACAACACTATCATTACTTTGAAAAAAAATTATCTATGTCCAATATGGCGGATCCAAGATGGCGGCCAAAAACATGTTCCCTATCAAAATGAAGTACTAACCACCCAATAAATACAGGCGGTGGTCCCAAGTCAATATCTCGAAAAATGTGCATAACAAATGCACGTGAAAAATGTTTTTTTAGTTTGTCCAATGTTGGAAAAAGCCGCCATTTTAAATTGTGATTTTAGTGGTTTTCTCGTGCACCGATTTTTGGCAACTTTTAGTATGTCATTCTGCAAACCCAACTCTACAAAATAAAACCATAAAACGTTTTCTTGCAATTTGTTTAAGGTCATATCCTATATTTCTCCGACTAAATATCAATATTTGAATTGTGAGTGGATTTAACTGTCCCCTAATAGAATGGTATTTTAACATTTAAGCAATAGATAAGTGCAATAGAATGTTCCAAACTAAACAATTGACTTTTTGACAATGTCTTCTCAACTTATTTTCTGTGGAAGGAGGCTGTCATTTTAAAAATTAAAATACACGCGGTACAGTAATCGAATCACCTGTAAGATACTGGTTTCCACAATTATCCTGACTTATTGAGTGACGCATAGCGTTATTATAGAATAATCCTTTTCAAGATGACTCAACGCTACCAAATTATCACTATACAGATTTTTATTATACACTCAGAATATATTTCTTAACAGCAGAAATGTTGATACAATTTAGGCCTCGTTGTTTAATTAATTAAAAATAAAAGCTAAGTTATTGGTTGTGAAGCGATTATTCGACTTCAACTCTGTAAAACTGTTAAAAATATAAGAAAACGAGAGATTTTCAAGCAGTTTCATTGTTAGTTTGGACATACATGCATTAACTTGATAGAATTAATGCCCCCATATGTAAAATTAATCAATCCCACAAAAGTTTAACTTTAAATCATAATTATATTCATTAAAACTGCGTTAAGTCGAACGATTTTCTTCATCCGGTCACGCCCCCCCCTCACCGGTTTTTTTCTTCTGTTAGGAAAATTCAATTCGAAGTAAGCAATGGACGAGTTAACTTTTAAATTCAATGTCTGTTATGAGAAAATGATTTGCCAAACAAATTTCTAGAATATATAAAAAAATATCCATCCTTTTTACCTAAACTGTAATTGTTATATTTTATTTTTCCAAGATTTGACATGGATAAGAGAAGTATTTGATTAAATATTTGAATCTTTTACTACATATGAATTTTTTAGGAGTCTCTAAGTAATCAAAAAGTATAAATTCAATCCGAGTTAAAACTCAATAGCAGACTAAAAATTTAGTCTTATTTAACTTATTCTACATGAAAATTAAGTGACTTATGATATATCTGGGGAGGGAATCGGTACAATCCATTTCCAAAATATAATATTTTTAAGGGCGTTCAAGGACAGATTTGGTCCTGGGATTCCACTCATATTTTAAATAGATTTGTATTATTTTCTTCTGACATTATTCTATCCAGGATAAGTAGCCTACATATGAAATATAATAAAGATGTAATCATAAAACATGATGTACGATGTGCTTGCAATATTACCACGTTCCTATGACTGAGTACTTACCATTATAGAAGGGTAGGAGGGCGGCGGGCGCACAGAGGCACAATATGAGGAGATTGACAGGTGATAAGTCCATGTCTTGACACTGACTAGAGACTGACTACTGACTTTACACGACACACGACCACTACACGACTACACGCGCGCGCCTGTGTCTGTGTGTGTGTTGTGACTGGAGGGGGAAGGGGTAGGTCTACCTAGCTATATACCACCACAATGACCAGCCTCAACATTCTCCACAAGCAGCCTCCGTACATGCTCTTACACAACTCACGTTATATAACGCAACTGATTTATAAATAGGGGTACTTCCCTCTCACAGATACCGGTGACCATGAATGGCCATTTATGACCATGAAGGCCACGAATGGCGATGAGCTTAAAATATAAATACAATTGTAAACCCATGTATCGTTGTTTTTAATGTTTCTTTTCCCAGTCTATGATATTTTTTACTTTATTTGCAGTTTGTTATTAGCTTATTGGTCAGGAAAGCTTATTCTACGTGCCAAAATATCATGAATTATGACAGATCTTTCGACCACTTTCCTCTAAATCCAATATTTTTGGAGCACACAAGGACAGATTTGGTCTTCGGGATATCCACACATCTTTTTCAGGGGACACCGAAACTGCCACGACGATTTACGATCATGCTCCATACTGAAACTGCCACGGCAATTAGTGAGGATTATAAGGGTGTTTTTGAGATGGCTAGAAACACTGAAACTGCCACGGCGGATTCCCCAGATAGACGGGGAGAAACGGGAGACTTAAAATTCCCATTTCCGTCTTAACCTTTTAATTTCTTTCACAATAATACGTTGTTTGGAAAAATAAGTGATTGATTTGCCCTTTCGTATTTATATTTTAGGAGTTATTTTTATGTTAATTTAAGGTTTTAGTGTTGCGACTGTTAGAGTATTTACTTTATAAGTATTTATTCCGTCTCTTGAAATTATATTTACTTTAATGAACAATTATTTACCACTAAGAAACAAGTTTTATGTTCATTTACCACTTATATAACATTGATACTTGATTTAAATAAGTACAAAGTTAGTATGGCCTCTTTTAAGTAGCGACATGAAAAGCATTTAACTAAGTTATGAGCAAAGTAAAGTGTTGTGTTTCAAAATCGTCACTGTGATGAGTGAGGGATATTCTCATTCCCGTTTCTCCCTGCACGTTGCCAAACCAACCCCCCTTTCCTGAGGAATCTGCCGTGGCAGTTTCAGTGTTTCTAGCATTCTCAAAAACACCCTTATAATCCTCACTAATTGGCGTGGCAGTTTCGGTATGGATTATGATCATAAAACGTCGTGGCAGTTTCGGTACAGCCCTTTTTCAAGGTTGGACCACTTTCTTCTGACAACGTACGACTGTAAGAGTATATTATAACCCGTACGGGCGGGCATTAATTGCGCCCGCTGCCCTGAATCAGGTGGTCGAGTCGGGTATTCCTGAATTGCGCCAACTACTCCAGGGAGCCACCTAATAGGTCCATTAACTGCACCAAGTGGCGGCCCTCTTTGACTGCATAATTGAGTAGGTTAGGTTAGATTGAGTTTGGTTAGGTTAAGTTAGGTACGATTAGGTTAGGTTAGGATAGGTTATAACTTGTATTTTATAAGATGACTTGTAAACAAGGGCATTTCTTCTGCCGGCAACTCACCCCTACCTGCCTTGGACTTCGGCGCAACTAAGGAACATTTTTTTAGCGGAATTTAAGGGCCTGTTTGACGAAATTAATGCACGACCAGAATTACGACGCAAATTTGCGTTTCATGCATAAATAAGGAACAAACTGGAAACTGAACTCTATTATTAGTTCAACCATAGAACATATTTCAATGTTATTTTTTATTTCACAATCTTTAATCACAACCTGATTACTTTACAAAATAATCCACCACTTGCAGCATTAAACAATTAACACAATGTATTCAAGACGATTGGATATTTAGAGTAATTGAAGGAAATGGTAGACAAATATGGAAGAAATGTTATTTTAGTATCAGGTCCACGTGCCTATGCTAATAGTACAGTAGATATAACCTTATATGTACGTCAATGGATATTAACCAGCGACCACATAGTACTAATTTGTACTATGTGGTCGCTGGACATAACACAAACGAAATTCGCTAACTGCGGTTTAAGTTGCCATTTGGTGGTAAATTTTGTTAGTCAATCAAAAGCTCAAATTATTTATACTTGCTCAGATATTTTGCAGATAACTCTTGGACAATACCCGCTGATGAAGTCATTGGTTATAGGAGCATTACAGTATTGTCTTTAGTGCAGTTGTGTTACGCAAGAACTGCTTGGGTTGATCTTTCTGTCGTACGTTTCTCCAGTTTCACAGGTGTGGTGGGTTTATTCTCAGTGTTTTACCACCTCACTTTACCGTTATTCTGCGGATTGTCTTCACACCAAGAACAGTAGTAATTCACAGCAGATGTCCAGTCTAGCTGGCGCCAATGGAGGGTCCAAATACAGCCCTCTCCAACGGCTTTAGCCAACAATGTCGGGGCTTCCCAGGCCGGGCCCAGACAACTGTATCAGTGATAAGGCCTTATCTTGCCTTCCTTCTTCTACGTAGCACACGTATATAATGACGTAATGATACACATTTTTATACACATTAACGATGACGTAATTGATTTGTATTTACGTTGCATTAGTATTTAAAACGATAATTAGCTTATGAATTATTTTTTATTTTTTGTCAGTTAATTGTAAAACCAATGTAAATAGAAATGAACTATTTTTTATTTGAATAAAGAGTAACAAAAACACGAAATGATTCTGAAAAAAAACTTAAAAGTTAACGTTAATTTGGGAAGGGAAAATTAAAGTCTAACTAAAAAAATTTAAAAAAAAACATTTGATGAAAAAACACTTACCGGTATTTTTATCACTTCACAATTTTATTGAAAACAGAATCAGCCTATTATGAACTGTGTTAAGAATTATTGTAAATATTCAACCATAATCAAAAAGATCGAGATTACGCATAAATAATAGTTAATCATCTCTCTGACAGTTGGCTAATTGGTTAACAACAGTAACCGCCACAAGACATCTTATGTAATACGTAGCCAAGGACCACACAAGTGGCCAAACACTAACTACAAACAACTTTTGGTATAGTATGTCACGTACACGTGCACTTACATAACTAGGTACCAATACGTGAATTTTTAGCAATGAAATGATTTCACGCAGGTAAAGATTTTAAAATAAAGAAATATTTATTTGTTAAATGTTGTCGTAACCTGATTTTGAAGCCCTTCCGGTTTAAAAAAATATTGGTATAAATGCAACATTTTAACACCTATACACAATTATTGACACTGTAGGTCCATTATTATACGAATAAAAAACAGAGATATTGCCACGAATACTTAAACAAACCCGTTATGGATCATAAACATAAACAATGACGTTACTGGCCCGAATCCTATACTAGTAGCATTGACACAAAATGGTTAAGAGAGTTTCATTTAAGCAATGTTAAATAATTGTTACTTTTGGTCCAGTAACAGGATATGTTTATGTTTATGATCCATACATTGTATGTTCTAGTATTCGTGGATATTGCTATAAATAATTACATACTTCTTGCTATAAAAATTACCGTTTAAATACAAAAACCTAATTATTCGTAGCCGGATTTGCGCGCCAAACAAATAACGATGTAACCGGTTGGAATTAAGAATGCCACGACCGTAAACCCAGATCATCCCCCTATTGTACGGACGTGGATATATATGAATGAGTTTGTCACTGTCTAATTATGTTTTCACGGATCCAAGGCACTTATATTAGGAATTCCCTAAATCAAACCATTCTCGATACCAGGAAATGTTATGATCGTAACACATACGTTCGATCGTCAAATCTCCTTTGCTTCATAATGGATTGGGGCTCATAACCCTGACTGGAAGGGTAACGTTTGATCGAAGTGCATCGAGGAGCATTTCAGGGGAAAATTTGACCTAAAAGCAGCGAATGTAAAATGGTAAGTATTACATTTCTTCGGTCTTCCCTAAAAAACAGTTTTACTTTAGCTAGTCTACTGTCGTCGCTAGTTCCGGATCAGTTATGATAGCGCTATCGTGTTTCGTTTCGTGTTATGTCCGTGTTTTGTGTCGTGTTTCATGTATTTATTTATTTCCATGATTTCACGTGTTGCACAGTTTGACAATGTTGAACTTAAAACGAAATTAGTCAGCACCTTACTAAGATAGCCTTGTTTGTCATAACAGAAGTAAAATAGTTCCTATATGGATTGGTATTTAAATTTTCATTAAAATCATAAAATATGTATGTATTGCGCCTTGATTTAAATTATTCTGGAGTGTTCAAATATTCACAAGGTTAGTCAATGCTTTAAACCACAATAGACCCTTATGTAACCCTGATACGTCTTTCCTAACGTTTATTTTAAATTTAAATAAAACTAACAACATCATTGTGTATAAAGTAATACCATACAATACCCAGTTCGTATCAGGTCCAAAAATGCATAAAATATTGTTTTATTTATGGCAAGTGCTTGCAAATACAGCATTGGTTTACAAATTTAAAATGTACTACTACGGTACCTACTTCATCCCTTTTGTTTGATTAATTATAAAACTGTGTCCAAATTTAAATTTATTTGTTGCAAATTACCCTGTGTGAACAAACTGTTGCAGTAATTAAAGCTAGTTGCATTTGGAGCAGGTATGTTTTGGCAGTAAGCTCAAACGCGGTATAACAAACTAGAGGTATGTTTTTGATCCTTACACGTCCTCACACGAAAAGGGGTTTTCAGTTAACGCAGACAACTCAACATTCCTAGAAATGGATTAGTCAGCCGCCACAGCTGGTTTCAACATTTGACTATCCCTCCCTTTACCTCGGATGACTAAGCTATATGGTTGTTTTGTCTTCCTTGTCAGTTATTTAAATCATGTTCTACCAATACAATTAATTAACATTGGTTTACCAGTAATCCTATACTCTAATACGAGCAAAGTTTGCTTGTATGTATGTATGTATGTATGTATGTATGTATGTATGTATGCTTGCACCAGGATCTCGAAAA